TTGAAGCCTGGCTTAATAAACCTCTTCTCTCTTGGCAACTGAGGCAGATTCCCTAAAGCTGACAGGTCTCAAAAGTTGTTTTGAAATTATTGTACTGGTTGCATTGGTACATTTCCATTCCTAATGGGAATAGAGGCATTTTGTTGTTTTGTTTTGTTTTTTTTTTTCCCCCCCTAAAGGAAGGAGCATGTAAATGCTGCCTTTTCCTTCTCTTCCTCTCACACTTTTTTTTTTCCTAAGCTTTCAACTTACGCTTATTTGATGGCCACCACTATAAGTGCAGTAAATTTGACTCCTGAACCCTGCATAGACAGTTGGAAAATATTCATACTTTTACAAATGTTGAACATTTCTAGGATTCTCTCTGGCATTGGTTTTACCAATGCTGAAGACAGTCCAAATACCGGGGCTAAGATAGTGTTTGAAAAAACAGGCTGGTGCTTTTTTTCTGAAGACCAGTTTCAGTGGGATTTAGTTTTCTAAGTGCTTTTATGAATCTGGATCTGAGAGCATTTGAAGGTAGGTCAGAAAGGCAAGGCATTTTCCAGGATTTTAAAATGAAAGGTACTGCTATAGCACATACCTAGAGATCAAACCCTTATTTCAATCCTATAAAGCAATTTTAGCTGCAGAAGAGGTTTCTTTTTAAAGCTGAAAAAGGTGAAGAAAGTGATATCCAAAGTGATATCCAAAGTGCTTTTGGTTTGATTTCTACTACTAATGTGTCCCTTTACTGCAGCTGCAGACTCTATAAAGTATTTAATCTGCAACCTCTTCAGAGATTTCCTGTGCTAGTGGCTCTTCTCAGACCAAGGTAATTTCCCGAGTATTCATGCGGGTCTGGGTGTTGTGACCTGACTGACACTAAGAAGCTCCGTTTTCTAGAATGAGTCCATTTTCTCTGTGAGTCGAGCTATCACGAGGTGGGATGAGGTGTATCCCCTGTGTCTCTGAGGCTTGTAAGCCCTGCAGCAGCAGGCAGTGGGGAATGTGATGAGGCTTCATTGGAGGTTTTGTTTTCCCTAGAAAATCCTTCGTATATGGCTGCTGAGCAGAGCCACCAAGCAGCCCTGGCAGTTCTCTGCTGCTCCATGCCTGTCTCATCTCTCAGCTGTGTAGGAGTTTGCAAAGGCAGATTAATATTTAACGTACCTGGAGGCTTTGATCTTTCACTTGTAGTCTGGATAGATCTAAAACCTCATAAAATGCAACCAGAGGAGGTGATGCTGCCTTTTTATTCACTAATGCCGAGACTGGAGCACCCTCCTAATTTCAATTCCTTCTTCTGTCTTGGGCCATTTCATTCCCCTCTCCGTCTCGTCTGTTGAGAATGCTTATCACCAGCCTGCTGGGTGCTCATGCTGAAACTGTCTCATTTCCAGTCTTTCAGCTGTGCATCTGAACCACTTGGCTTGAAAACCTCTTTGTCTGATCTTCTTCTGGATCCTGGAGTGCCCCCACTCCAAAGAAAAGGTGGAATGCCCTGCCTAGGATGTCCTGCAGGCTGGTGACCAGGTGCTCTCCTGGGGTGGGAACTGCAGGCTGAGCCAGACCCACATTCTCTGTTTGCTCAGCCCACAGAGCATTGGTGTGACTGTTGTCCAGGATGGTCCCACACCCTGTCCCTCAAAGGTGGCCACTGCTGCGGGTTAAACACCTTTGTTCAGTTGTCTGGAAGAGACTTCCAGGCACAAGTCTCTCCCGTGTCCTCCTGGCTTGCTGAGGCAATGGCAAGTCACTGCTTTCCCACATAGGGAGTGTTGATCCCTAACTTGGCAGCGTGAAATCTCTTTTTGCCATGGACCCCTTCACTTTCCAGTCTACCAGCACTGGCTATGCAAGTGCCAGGTCTGGTCTTAGAAGACTTTGAAGGGAAGATCTGGAGAAACACCCTTCTCTTCAGCCTTTCCTCTTGGCTAGTTTTTGCTGTTCCCTGTTTTGCTTGCTGACTGTTGTGAATCATGGACCTGGCAAAAAGAGTCAGGACAGTCCTCCGTGGATACCGTGAGCTCCTCTAGGCCACAAAGTGCACCAGGACACAGTGCCTTGTACCATGGGGTTAGGAATATAATTTTGGAGAGATGTGGCCAGATTCAAGCTTTGTACGTGTGAAGCAATTTGTTTGATATGTGCATGAAGATATTTGGGAGAAGAGTGCCATTGCAAAGATCTAATACTTCAAGACTACATTAAGACTGTGGTCAAACAGTTTGTATAACCTTAGAAGATAGCTGTAAAGTAGCTAGTGGCCTGACCTGGTTTTTAGTAGTCCAGACTGTCTCTGTGCATAGGCAAAGGAGGCAGTAGCCCAAGACAGCAGAGAACAGCAACGTAGCAGATGTTTTCCTGCTGGTTTTGTCTGTCAGAGCCCTGGGGAGCTGGGCTGGTTGCTGCTTCTCCATGGTAGTAGAAACTTTACATCCAAATTTCCGTTACTCTTCCCTTTCCTCCCAACTGTTGCTGTTCTCTACGTCCGCCTTTATGACGTGACGACTTCTCCAGCTCTGGTTCCTCATCCTTGGGTGCCAAAATTCAGTTTTGCCTGAATTCTTGAGAAGCCTTGAGTGATGTTGCTACAATAGTGAAAAAACTTAACATAGCTTAAATTTTTGAGCAGCCAAGGTTTGTACTTCTGTAGGTTTCTGTGCTCCTAGCAATACCTGAGCTAGGTAATTTTAAAGCTGATTCAGACATGTATATATGAGCTGCAGTCATCTTACTTGTGGTAGCATAAGCAAAATTTTGGGAACTGAGCATGCCTGAAAGGGGAGAAACATACTGTAAGCATCTGTATATGACTGAGTGTTGTCCCTCCAGAACCTGCACCCTAAGTTATGAGATGAGACTTTGTAAATGACATTAGTACTTAATAGTGTGGCAGGAGTGTGTGGTGAGGGTACAAAACGCATCTCTAGTAAAACTGCCTATATTGTCATCTGCTGGACTAAAAAGTAATAAGAAATTGAAACAGGCCTTGAAAATAAAATTGTTACATTGCAGCTTAGTGGAAACTTCCTTTTTTTTTTTTTTTTTGGTCCACACTCTCCTGGGTTTTCTTTCTGGTTGGTAAATCTTGTCTATGAAGTAGTTCATGCCTGTCCCATTACAGGAGTTGTGAAAATCCCCAGGTAGCACCTGTCCTCTCTTACTTCATGGGAGGATTACCCAGCACCAATGATTTTCTCTAGGGTTTCCTGCCCCACTGTAGTAGCCCATTAGACTATGACTACATCACGATCCCTTGACCCAGGAGCTCTTCCCAGGTCCAAGCATAGACCCCACCTTTTTCAGGCATGGTCCTCCTGCTCCACCTTCCTCTCCTTTGGAAGGAAAGCTGGGGAAGATATTTGAGTCCAAAGGGGCTCACAACGTACACCAGTCTGCGCCCCAAATCTGGATGATCAGTGAGAACTGCGGGGGTGGGGGTGAGGCGGTGTGTTGTGGAGCACCCCTGCCCTGCAGTGTGGATGTAGCACCAGATGGTGCAGCCAGGACGTTGTGAGGCAGAAGCAGCCTCTCCTGTAACTCGTGCCATGCCCTCCCCACATGAGGAGGGAGGCAAAACCTGCTCCCATGTGACCTCCCTGCTGCAGTCTACTCATTTTATCTTTTAGAGGATAATGGAAGCACAAACTGGACAGCAATTCAGAGGGATAATTTATTCCCTCAACTCCGAAGTCATCTACTTAGTCTTGCTGCTAAGACATCTATTAAATATATCAGAGTTGATGGTGGAATTTAAAACTAGAACAAGGCCTTTTAACAGCATAGGCGAAACTGAATTTTGCTCTATGTGAAAGGCAGTCTGCCTTCCTTTTGCTCCGTCCCTTAAGTTTCGGTAGCTGCTTCACCATCTCATTCTCACCCTGAAGCGCCGTATTATTCTGACCCTGCTGAAGGGCAGGTATGCCTTCAGGCCATCCCCAAAATAACAGACTCGCCCTCCTACACCCCCAGCATGTACTGGTCCTACCTGTGCCTAATCCTACTTGGCTTATTTTTCAAGGGAATCAGGGAGTGGGGAGTAATACAGCCAATCTTCTTGCTCTGGATGTAAAATGCACATGTCTGTATTGTGGCTATAAAAGATGATATACAGATACTTTCTCTCAAAACCCTGATATGACTTTCAGCTTGTTTGTTTAGTGCAGAGCCTTGGTGAAAGAAGGACTGGAAAAACGTATCAGAAACACATAAATAACACTTTTGTCAAAGGGTATGTCTACAGACCCCCTAAATAGCGGCTTTTGATGGTCCTTTCACACAAACTTCATTTCTGTACTGTTGTTTTCTGAGAGATCTGTTCAGAGCCTGATATCAGGCAAGCTATTTCACTTGTAGGCTTAGACAAGGGTAGTTTCAGAGGTGAATCTTTTCAGGATTTATTGAAGGCTCTGATGTAACTTCATTGCATTATATAGTGAAATGCTATCTCCTTTCCACCCTCAATGAGTTACAAGAGGGCTATTGTATCAGACAATTTGCTGGGCACAATTTCAGTGCTCAGATAGATGGGAAGTGAAATTTCAGGCCTTTAGGTTAGTCTCGTTGTCTACTAAAATGCCTCTTTAGAGCAGCGTGAGCTCTTTCTAAGGGGCAGCTTAGTACTAACATCTTTCAGTGCACGCCCCTGTGCTATGTTTTCTCCTTTCACCTTTCCAGATCCCGGTCTCCAATGAGAAATCGTGAACACAGAATTGCCTGTTCTTAGCATTGCTTATTCTCCTACTTCTTAACTAAGTTTCTTCTGAGTTTTATCTTACTCAGCCTAACACCAAACTGCTGAATGCACTGCTGCATGTGTCATGTATGTCTGTGGAACATACAACCTGCTCGGGGGACCTGCACATGTCCTTCTCATGCTGCGTGGGTTATGGCATGCCAAAGTATATTGTATTTATAGTAGGATGCTGCATATGTTCAGAAACTGTTGAAAGTCTTTGGAATTCTTATAACTGTTTATTCATTCTTTTGTTTAGGAGTCATTGACCTGTAAGTGCTCATTATGAAGAGAGATCTGGTTTTCTTGGTGACTCTAATTAGCCTTGCCTTCCTGTCACTGCTAAGGTCTGGATATCCTCAACACATTGCAGAGGAGTCCTGCTCCGTTCAAATTCTTGTTCCAGGCCTCAAAGGTAACGTGGAAGTCTACTCCATCATTCAAATACTAATCCTTTCCTTCTAACAAACAGGCTCATTTGTACCACTGACTGTTTCTAACAGGGACAAATAAGATGCCTTTCAATTGTAGCCTCCTTAAAAACAGAGTTTTAAGGTTCGTAAGATGAACTAAAGTCTGTTAACATGAACATGGTTCAGAGAATGCACGCCAAAGTTTACCAGACTTGTTCCTGACCAGTAGTGCTTGTTAACCTGATACGCTGCCTGATTGCTTTCTCTGTGTTTATACTCATGAATGGTGCATGTACTCAAAGACTGTAAAAACAAGCCCTACGTTATATCTGGAGAGGTTTTCATTGCCATTTTGTGATGTAATAATGGGAAGTATTTTGTATTTTCTAGACTTCTGCTTGTTTTCCATTGATTTTTAAATGCTCAAGTGCCTTTTAGAAGAAATAAAAAATGAGTTAGATTTTTGGCATTTCTCTAGTTTCTGTTGACAAAATCAACATTTTTACAAAATATGCCCCCAAACTATTGCCCCCAAAAGATGGCATAATAAATTACTGAACTTTTCACAGCAAAAAATGTGTTACAGTACTTTAGACAGGTATTCAACAGCTGGGAATAATTAGCAATTTAAAGCAACAGCATCCATTATGGTGTGAAATTCTATCCCTGTTTAGTCAACAACAGTAACTCTCATTATGTAGGCTATGGTATTTCTATTGGAGTATAACACCTATAAGCATGGGGAAATACCTGTTAACCAAGGACAAAAAAAACCTAATGACAACCACCAGTTTATCATTAATGATAAAAAAAATTGCATAGTTTCAGAACTGCACAACTAACCTTCCAGTTTTTCTGGTAGTTAGGCATTGCAGTATCACAAAACTCACCTAACAATATTGATGCTATTAACGTTACCTAGCACAAACAGGGGCTTCACCCGGTTGCCTGAGGACCACAGTATGGACTGCAGGCACTGTCTGTGCTGGTTAATTGATTGGTGAGGGCAAGGCTCACTTCTGTCCTGCAGTTGTTTATACAGTTAAATTGCGAGCACAGCATGGCCACAGGTTTGGCTGTGGTGTAAACTGCACTCTCCGGACATTGTCCAGTTTAGATGTGGCTGCTCTGTGCTGCAAGCAAGGGAATTGGTCTATAGGGATGTGGGTTGCGCTTGGCCAGTTGGCTTCAGGACCAAAAAAAACCTTCTCTGTTTTGTTTATTATTATTATAGATGCAGCTGAACTGAACTGAACCAAAATCTCTATATTTTTTATTTTACTTCAATAAGTGGCCTTTGAAGTCTTAATAATATTTACACCTTCTGCAGATGTTCTAGTTAGAAAGAACAACAGTATATCCAGGTCTTCTGAGGTTTGGCTAAGCCTTAAGTAAAGTTGTTTCATTTGTTTGATATATTTACTGTGAAATAGGCATAAGATACTGCTGTTGATGTTACTTACAGGGGAGAACACAATCAAGTTAAATATATGTTTTCTAAAGTTACACAGAAGATCAGTCAAAGGGTCAGACCCCACAGCACCGAGGACCGAAGCTTTGAAATGATTTTTCATTTCAAAGAAGCTGACAGGCTTTGACAAGTTTCTTAACTTCTTTGCCTTAGTTTCCTTATTTATATAATCAGTCAAAATTAACATCTGTGATTACCAGTTTTACAGAAGGATGGTGGTTATTATTATTATTATTATTATATTCAGCAGAGTTTTTTAAAATGTATAAACAGTGCAGGACCCTGGCCAGAAGGCAATCCTGAGCCGGGAGACAACAAAGAGGCTTGAAAACCATCATGTGTTAACGATTTCACTCCGCTTCATGAGATGGAAGCCTTGAAAAGTGAGAGAGATTGATGTACAAATTCAGTGAAGCACAAAATGGCCTGATACAGCCCCAGTTAATGTGAAATCCCTAAAAAGCTATCAATGCTCCAGCTACTCTGTCAGGGGGACTGGCTCGGAGAATTGGTAATGAGATACTGCTGTCCCCCACTGGCACAGCTCCAACCCATTTCGGTGGCCAAGGCTTCCTTTAAACTGAGCATATATGTGGCTGTGTGCCCACATTTCAGCTCCCGCGCAGTGGGATTTGCTCACTGCAGCTTTTAGATCTGCCCCATCTTCTCCTCTGCTGGGCTGCCAGCAACGTCTCCAGTGCTGGAGGAACAGAGCCTAGCATCACTGCTGGGCACAAGCCTGTCGGGATTTGGGAAAAACAGGCACAGGGAAGAAGTGGAAGAAATGAGGGAGACCATGGGGTGTGTAATAGGGAAAAAATAGGAGGAGAGGGTTAAGCCGAAGAGGTGGTGCAGAAAGTGGAGCCCCAGTGGGGTGGTGAAGGAGAAACACACCAGGGGAAAGTACCCAAAAGTGGAGGAGTGTAATAGAGAAATTTTAGAAGAACAGGAAGAGATAAAGGGAAAAGAAAAAAGAAGGGCACAAAGAATGAGACTGAGGGGAGAGACTGGAAACTGGGAAAAAAAAAAAAAAAGAAAATGACGCAAAGCCAATTAGGACCCCACACAATAAAAGGGGGAATCAGAAGGGGGATGAGATGAGAATGGAGGTCAAAATAGAAAATGAAGAAAGCCAGTAAAGACAGCAAGAACAGAAAAAGGCACAAATGAGTTTAAGGTCAGCAGCTTAGGTCTTAGGGACCGATTTTTTTTTTTTTTTTTTTTTTTTTTTTAATAACCTCAACAGTATAAAAGAGTGAGATGAAATGTAGAAGGGAAAAATACCGTGGCTCTGAGAATCCAGGCAGCAGACTGAACCGTGTTTTAGAAAGCCAACAATATTAATAATGGGAAAACTCCGTTGTGTGTGAAGAAGGGATGGATGATGAAGCCTCACTACATTGCTCACGCATACTCTTTCTAAAGTCCAGTTCCTTTTGATAGACAAATGAGATTGAAGTTACTACTGTTGTGGAGAAAAAAATAACATGGACCAATCCTTCAAACCTTAAATTCTTGGTTTGCCACCTTGTTTCGTCTCCCTTCTAGAATCTAAAGCAGGAATTGTCTTAATAGTCTCCATGGCATACAATACATAAAAAAGTTGATGTTATGTAAATAAAACACGACCATTTGTTTTTTACGCCCACACTTGATGTGTCTACTCACACAGGGAATATGAGTAATGGAAGAAAGTTATCACCATATTTGGCATGCTATTTTCATTACAGTAGACGTTACAGCTCAAGGTAGGCAGGATGCAGATGTAATAAGAGACAAATCCTGTCCCAAAGAATTCACAAAAGGAGTCAAATTGACAGCAGTGGTAAAATATATCATCTGAATTATGAAAGATCTCTCTCAGAGATGACAGGCGAAGAAGCTTCTAGTAGTGTCAGGGTTGTGCCTGATACCTGTGATCCTGCTGCAGCTCAGTTCAGCACCAGGGCTAAATTTCATAGAATCATAGAATGGTTTAGGTTGGAAGGGGCCTTAAAGACCATCTAGTTCCAACCCCCCTGCCATAGGTAGGGACACCTCCCACTACACCCGGTTGCTCAAAGCCCCATTTTTTTTCTTTTTGGGGGTGTGGGGCACCACAACACTGTGGAGCACTGCTGGGCGCACCTCGCCCCATCTCAGCTGCACAGGCGAGAGCTGCATTGCGCTGTGGAAGACGGTACTCTTTCATGCAGTAGGGCTGGAAGAAAGAGCCACCCAGGAAGGGATGCAGAGGAGACTGAGCCGGAGGCATGACTGCAAAGGGACTGTGGCTGGTGGAGGAGCCCATAGCAGAGCAGCAGGGTAGGGACCGCCATGCACTGATCCCGACCTCCTGCTCCAAAGGGACTGGGTGTAATGTGCGGGACAGGGGCTGACGACCAGAAGGGGGCCACAGAGTTGTCTTTCTCTACATTAATTTGTTTAACTTTTGATTCCTGAATTAGGAAAAAAAAGCAAAAAATTAGTGTTAATTGGTGATAAATTAAATTGATTGAAATTCCTTGACAGAAAACTGTTTTGTTGCCCGTGACACCTGCACAGGCTTTGCTCCCTCAGCTTCCACAGTGCTCAGGGTACATACAGCAAAAATAAGGACTTAAACACGGCAAAGCTGAACTGGACCACTGATCAGTCCCTCTTGGCCAAAGTCCTGCTGCTTAAAACAGCTGATAACAAAAAATGCAGAGTGGTCTGTAGCTGGGCCTGTAATGGGGTAATCTCCTCCCAGGGAAAGTTTCTTAAACACCCACACTAAGGAATGCAGTGTCATCTTATTATAGGAATAAATGCAGGCAAGTGTAATGGCCTGAAGCAAGAATGATCTATTTTATTGATCCCTAATGCACAGCTTTCACTCTGAAGAAGGTGTAAAGCAATAGGCTGTAATAGCCTGCTCTCAGCCTCTGGAGAGCAGGGAAAAGTCATTGTCAGGATTTATCTTTGGGAAGCAAAGAACTCATAACCAGCCCTGAGGGGGGAAAGGCAATCATACAAAGCCTATTGGTTACCTGGTAATAAAAAAAGTGACGTTCCCAAATGTGCCAAATAATAGTCTGTTTCATACTAACAATATTATTCACTGGGGATTATGTGAAGTTTGTCCTCATTAAGGTCAGAGAATGGCCTATTTCTGCATGTCTGAAGACAGGAAAGATGGTCTGGAGCCTGCTGGCAGCCTGAAGAAGGAAAATATAACAGATGGAGGGCCGAGTTCAGCTCACAGTCACCTATGTCTACAATAAAGGGGGAGAGAGAGAGCTGGAGGCTGCATATTTGAAACGTGCCATATTGTGGCTTGTTTTTACATGTCATCTCTATGGTCGCTCTCTGAACCAGTGCTGCCAGCTATGCCAGAGAGCAGAGCTTGAGGGGTGCATGATAACCATTTCTGCTATGGTGCTCCCTTCAGCCTCCTGGAGAGCAGCTCCCTCTCCTCTGTAGAAATACAGCGCTGGGGCAGCGGGTGTGTTGTGCTAGCTCTGCCTTTTAGATCCTGGCATTTTCTTTTCTGTGGAAGCCATGGAACTTTCTTCTCCTTCATACAAATCTTTTTTTTGGTAAAGTTGTCTGTGTAAATCATTATTTAAACTTCTATTTGTTTAAGAGATTTTAATTTTATGTCTACTACAATAGTAGTACAATAGTAGGGGGTGAAACAAGCTGAACATCCCCAAATTTCCAATGAAAGGCACCAGAGAGGCAGATGTTTACAGGAACTGATGTTTAAATATACTGAATAAAATAATGCACCATGATCCATGTGTGTGTAAGTACAATGCACAGTGGTTTGTACCACAGAGATTAAAAGGCACAGTATATAACTGAGCATATGGATTAGGAGATACTCTTCCATGCTTAAAAATGATCCTCTAAATGACAGATGTAACAATGCCTTCCTATAGGCCTGATCCATTCGTACTCCGTAAATGACTTCAACGTATTTCTTTTTTTTTTTTTTTTTTTTTATTTTGGGGTTATAGTTAAGCCATTTTTACCTGAGACTTAAGCATGCCCTTAGCAGATACTCAGGAAATGTTTGGTGAACACAGACCCAGAAGTTTATGTGCTAAGTTGGGGGCCTAATTCTGAAGTTTCTACTTAACTGAATTGTGCCGTTGGGCTTTTTGGAGGTTGATGGTATGGGTAACATCCACAAAACTAGACCCATTGTATGAGACTTCAGTAATGTATTGACTTTGTTTTTGTCAGTGTCTACACCAATTGCAGGAGACTGTTCTCCGTGCATCAAGTAAAGCTGTTAAGTCAGATTGTATCTGCTTTTATTTTTTTCCCCTCTTGTTATAGTAGGTTTTCATTCTCACTGGGGAGAATGGCACTCTTGTCACTGCCACCAACAGAAAATGGTCCTGGTTTAATATGATTGTTCTTTTTGTTTCCTTTTGTATCAACAGGAGAGGCTGGAGAAAAGGGCGAGAAAGGTGCTCCAGGTCGTCCAGGCAGAGTTGGGCCTCCAGGAGAAAAAGGTAATTTTGTTAAAGAAGATGTTTTGAAAGTCATTCCTGACCAAGTGCTGCCTTTTCTTGTGAGGCCACAATGATGGGGTTCCTCTCGCCCTTTGATGGATGACTAAATCATCCTTGGGCATTTTTGTGCACCGTTTTGGTGTTTTACCCTGGTACACAGCTCAGCCCCACACAGCCGCTCGCTCACTCCCCCCGGTGGGATGGGGGAGAGAATCGGAAGGGCAAAAGAGAGAAAACTCGTGGATTGAGACAAAAGCAGTTTAATAATCAAAGCAAAAGCTGTGCATGTAAGCAAAGCAAAACAAGGAATTCATTCACCACTTCCCATTGCAGGCAGGTGTTCAGTCATCTCCAGGAAAGCAGGGCTCCATCATGTGTAAAGGTGACTTGGAAAGACAAACGCCATCACTCTGAACATTGCCCCTTCCTCCTCATTTCCCCAGCTTTTATTGCTGAGCATGATGTCACGTGGTATGGAATAGCCCTTTGGTCAGTTGGGTTCAGCTGTCCCGGCTGTGTCGCCTCTCAGTGTCTTGTGCACCCCCAGCGTACTCGCTGGTGGGGCACTGTGAGGAGCAGAAAAGGCCATGACACTGTGTAAGCACTGCTCGGCAATAACTAAAACACCTCTGTGTTATCAACACTGTTTTGGTCACAAATCCAAAACATAACACCCTACCAGTCCAATCTCCTGCTTAAAACAGGGCAGACTTCAAATTTAGATCAGGCTGCTCAAGGTCTTGTCCAGTAGACATTTGAAAATCTGCAAGGATGGAGATTCCACATCCTTTTTGGTCAGTCTGTTCACCAGTGTCATCGTGAAAGACCTTTTCCTTAGGGCCAACTGAAATTTTGCTTGTTGTAAGTTGTGATTATTGCCTCTTGTCCTTTTGCTACATGTCTCTGAGAAGAGAGGGCTGCATCTTCTCTACAAACCACTTGTAGGTAGTGGAAGACTGCAATTATGTCCTCCCTTACCTTTCTCTACTTCAGGCTGAATAAAACCATCTTCCTTAGCTGGACTCCAGTTTGCTTCTCTTGTACGAGGACCCAAAAATCTCTAGATCCCTTTGTGCAAAGGGGATTTTTAGCCAGCCATTGGCCAGCCTTCATCAGTACATCACAGGTGAGGAACTTAACATCTGGCTGAACTCCTGATATTCTCGTCAACACATTCGTGCAGCTTGTCAATCTTCTCCTGACTGGGAGTTCTGCCCTCCAGTGCACCAACTCTTCCTGCTAGTGTGGGTTGTCTTGTGGACTCACAGAGGTTCCTTCCACTTCTTCCTCACTGTCAGTGATGAAGGACTGGTTCCTGAGGAATGGCACTGATTATCAGCTGCTGATCAGACTTCGGCAGCCTTGCAACAGCATCAGCTAGCCCTCTCAGCAGCCTTGAATACTGTCTGGCCAGTGCCATGGACCTGCGTACATCCAGGAGAAGTAGTCCCTAACTCAGCTGTCCTCTACCATAAGTAGCATGTCCTCCACAAATCTTTGCTACCAGCCATGAAGAAATGGGAGGCCGGAGAGCAGACCTTGCCAGTAGAGACCAAGGCAATGAAAGCACTGAGTACCTTAGCCTTTCCTGTCTCCTTTTTCACTAGGTTGCCTTCCTCCTGAGCAGAGTGCCCGTGTTATCCTTGGTCTCTCTTTTACTGCTGCCTTACCTGGACTGTCTTTCGTGTTGTCCTTCATAAATCTAGCTGAGTTCAACTCCAGCTGAACTTTGACCTTCCTCACTTCCTCCCTGTATGTGCAGGGAATACTTCTATATTACCCTTTGGTAGCCTGTCCCAGTGTCCACCTCCTGCATGCTTCCTTTCCGCATTCGATCTCAGTCAACACTTCCCTGTTCAGCCAAGCTGGCCTTCTGCCATATCTGCTCATTTTCCTGTACATTGCAATGGATAGTTCTTATGCTTTAAGGAAATTGTTCGTTAAGACTGACAAGCTCTTTCTGGGCCCCTTTCAACTTCATAGGAGCCTCCAGTAGGATCCTGCCTACAAGTTCCCAGAACAAGCCAAAGTCCAGAAGTCCAGGACTTTTATCCTGCTGCTTGTCTTCCTCACTTCCCTCAGAATCTTGGAAGCTGTCATCTCATGAAGACAGTCATGGTCATTGAGCCAAGGCTGCTGTTGACTATCATATCCACAAACATAGGTTATGTGAATAACAGGTCTAGGAGGCTACCATCTCTAGCTGGAAACCCAGTACCTGCATTAGATAGTTTTCCCTCATGCACTTTCTGGGTTGATTGCTCCTTATGGTGCTGCTCTCCCAGAAGATGCTGAAGTAGCTAGTCTCCAGTTATGGAGCTTCTTACAGTGGCTAAAAGAGCTCTTCACATCCAGTCCCACTTCTTGACAAGACAGTCTGTAATGAATGCCCACCATGACGTTCCCCTTGCTGACCTCTCCTCTAAATCTGACTTGCATGCTTTCAATGGACCAGTCACCTGTTAAAAAGCAAAGCTCCATGCATTCAAAGTCCCACTGTGTAGAGCCTTTGCCTTTTCTTCCCTGCCTGTCCTTCCTAAAGAGCCAATATCCACCCACTGCGGCGCTCCTGATGTTCTGGCTGTCCCATTATACCTGGGTGATTGATGTCACTAAATGGACTCACAGTTCTTCCTGTTTTATTCTCAGGCTGTGATCATTTTTGTACAAGTGTTTCAGATGGGCACCTGGTCATACTACTTTCTCATGGGGAGCGTGAGAGCCTCTCCCATCATGATGTCTTGCGTGTTTCTGTAGCTTGGCATTTTGTCAATTCAATTCAAAATGTTTAGGAACATCTGAGAAGTGGAGGTACTCTTTTTAGTCAGGCCAATCCATGATGTAACACCTCATTTATATATTTTATACTGCAAAATTGGATTTATTTGGAAAATCATTCTCATAAGGAATGCTTGATTAACTGTAATAATGATAATTTGCCAGTCTTCCATACCTCCAAAAGTCCAAAAATCTGAGGAGACTGAAAGAAGAAACACTGAAGTGAAAATTCACTGCAAGAAAACATACTTGAAACAGAAAAAGTGATGAAAGAAAATTGAATATTAATGCATACTATATCAGTATTTTTCCAGGCAGTGCTTTTAGGTTAAACACAGGCAAAATTTCTTACTGCTTCTGTAGCAACGTATTTTTTCTGCTTTCCTTTGTGCATCCAGATTTGACTTGACATGTGTATGTTCTTGGAGTATTTGGTAAACGGCTTTATTTTAGCATAGTAAGAAATTTCTACAAGCAAGCTCCTGTTTAAAATGAATTCTAATTAACTCATCTTTTTATTAATGCTGTACGTTTTGTAGATATTTGTCTTCATCAACCTCTTTCCACAAATGCTTCTTCAAAGAAAAAGAAATTGTTACCTTAAAACAAATTTGGAGTGCATGGTGCCAGATTTCATCATGATACTATATCCAGTGTATTTTTTTGAGTGTTACAGTGTTGACTGGATAAACAAACAGACTTCACAGATGTGATTTCTACCACATGAAAAGGACACAGAAAGATATCCAGCCTTGACCTAGAAAAACCTTTCAGTCAGGTTTAACCTTCACAGACAGTGTGTAGTGCCTAGACCTGAAGTTAAGCTCATGCATAAATACTTTTCTAGACTATCAAACTGAATGAGAGTGTCTCAACTGTATATTCTCTTCCAGCAGTCCAAGGTTTTCCAGTTTGTTATCCAGAAGCTGGAACTTTGAGGCAAAAATAAAATATAACAATATTCTTGGGAAAAATCATGTGACCCCCTAACACTGAAATATCCAAGATACTGAGGTCTTTTTCATATTTGGTTGTTCGTCTTATTATAGAGGGGTAAGAACTGAGCATCATTTGGAGGCTGATAATTTGTTCACAATCTTGTTCTCAGAAATAACCAGTTCATCACCTTTTTCCAGGGCAGGTTATCTAATATCCATTTTTGACCTGTTATTTGCTTTGCTTTTTTGCTCTGTTTTTGATCTCTTGATGGGCATATGCCACTGATGTCCTTTAAAGTGCTGGCCAGGTATTTTGAAATCTCAGTTGGTGTAAAGCTTAGACCTGTGATCCAGGTACATAACACATAGCGTCGTGGGTAATGAAAGATGGATGAAATTGTGGCCTCACTTTGCATTTGCCCCTTTCTAAGAGCACACATGGATGATCACAGCAGCCCTGTTTCTGTGCAGTAGCCTGTTAAATTGTAGTCACTGTGTTAACACGTGTTTGACCCCCTGTATTTTTACTGAAGCCTTATAATTGTTGCCTTGTTGGGCTACTATTTGGCTCCTTCTGCTGATGGAAACCTCTACATTTCATTATATTTTTTCTGCTATTTGAGTAAGTGATGGTTTACATGAGGGAGAAACTCCTCCATGTGTAGAGTTTTCTGCTTTTGGTGTTAATTTACATTACCAGTATCACAGTAATGTTTTTTTTTTGTTGTTTCTTTCTCCTTTCTTTGTTTCATTTCTCAAGCAAGATCATCCTAAGAAAATGTGCTTAGTTTCTTTGAACTCCTTAGGTATGTGATAATCAGTGAATAAATAACTTGCAGGAAAAATGGTTTTCTTATGGTGTATTTGACCTGAAATGAACACCTCAAGACTAGAAAGTGCTGCAAATGTTTTTATCATAACCTTTCCTCATTATATTTTCACATTTTGGTAGTTCAGAAATGGATAAACATTAAAACTTTCTGGTGCTTAACTGAAATAAATCTGGTTCTGAGTGTCCTGATGTTTCAGGGTGACATCAGACATCCTGATGTCTTTGGGCACTGATTAAGGTTAAATTCCACTTACTTTCCTCATTGCTTTTAATTAATTGTATAGGTCAATTATGATGCATAGCATGTCAGCAGAATATAAAACTGTGTTGGCCTTACATAAAGTATAGAGCACTGGATCAAGTGCAATGGCTGATTCAGATGAAAGTAGTGTGTACTGCAGTGCAAGTTTTGGGGTGTGAAGTTAATAGATGTAACTTTTCCCCCTTGCGCT